AATAAATGGGGGGGATAGGATTAAGCGAAATGGAGTTAGTTTTTCACAGCATGTCTTCTATGGAAGTATTTTTCATAACTGCACATATATAACCCATATTTAGTTGTTTGCCTTATCAATGAGGGTGGGTGTGGAGGGAGGAAGGGAGAAAATTTGGAACCCAGAGTTTTAAAAACACATGTTTAAAAAAATGTTTTCACATGCAACTGGGAAATAAATACAGGAAATGGGGTACAGAAATCCATCCTTCCCTGCAGGAAGATTGAAGTGGAAGGGGATAAGAGAGGAGGGGGAAAGATAGAAGGGAAGGCAGACTAGGGGTAGGGGTATTCAGAATGCATGCCATCTTGGGGTGGGGGGAGGGGCAAGATGGGGTGAAAATTTGGAACTCAAAATCTTATGAAAGTAAATGTTGAAAACAAAAAAATAAATAAAAATTACCATAATAAAAAAATGAAAAAACAAAAACTCCCTCCTGACAAAGGGGAGAGGAGGCTGAGGAAGTTGGGGAGGTGTTGAGTATCCACGACTGAGTTCAATTGCATGATAGGGGATTTTAGGTGATCAGTTTTTCCTGGGAGGGGCATCTTATTCATGGAGTTCAAAGGAATCTGAGCTGCAGATGCAAAATGGAGAGTGAGCTCTTATTGTTGTTACTCATTTCTTCCAACTCCAGTCAGAAATGATTTCAAATTTTTCTTCCCACTGTGATTTGAGGATGGCTCCCCAAGTAGAGATAGCTCCTTCAGCTTGGCTACCAGCCTGAGAAAAGTCACCAGATGCACATAGGTCCAGTTTGCAGCAACCCATTGCCATCAGTGTCCTGGGATTTATTTGTCTTTTCTAAGAGTTTTTATACTGGATTGACTTTAATGCCTGAAAGCCAAAGCATTAGTATTGATCCCAAACCCTAAATTACCAGTCTCTTACATCATGTACTATTAGAACTTTTCAAAACTCACCAGGGAAATGAATTAAAAATGCTAACCATCTGTTTACCTAAAATTTCGTGGCAGGTCCAAAAGTGCTGGAAAACTAATACTGCATAATTTGCATTCAGTATAAACAACAAAAGTGACTTTTGCGTGCATATCTGATACTGTTATGATTGCTTCAAATATTATTTTGACAGTATTTGTCTTGAAGAGGCAAACATGCTTCTAAGTGATAATCATTGGACCGACTTGGCAGTCCACTGGAGACTAACTTGCATTGAGATCAGCAGGAGCTAGAATATCTGGCTCCTTCCTTACTGAGCTCCAATGGCAGCTGCTTTGGCAGCTTCAAAGCCAGTCAGGTCTGTCACATCCTCTGATGTTGATAGATTTTTCTGGGCTGTTTTCTGCCCTTGAGTGCCATTTTCCTGGTGTCAGCTTTTAAATTAGTGGCTTCATCCATTTCTGAGTAGGAATGCGTTCTGTTAATCTCAAAGGAAATGGGCATGCTTTCAGATCCAAATATGGCTCTGTGTGTGTATTTGTGTGTGCACATGTGTGCACAGATATTTTCCAAAGCCTAAAATCTGTGTTAAACATACATGATCTAACTGAGGAATCTGGGAGAAAAATCATAGCCTTGGACATTTCATTTCTTGAGCCACCAGCATTATAATAAAAGGGAAATACTTTGTGTTTGCCGTATGTCAGTTGTTTTATTATTTGCTCTCAGGAAAGACCCACCCTCCCACCCTACCCTACTCTATCCCCTATCTTCTAAGATGAATGGTGGTAGAAAACAATTTTAAGGAAATAGTAGGACTAACCTAGTCTTTGTGTACTCTGGGATATGTTGGTTATGAAGATAAACCCCTGACATACGAGAAACCTTTTAGAGAGAAGTGATGAGAGTAGAGTGGTGATTATGAGGAAAAAAAGAAGCCTGTGGATGAAGAGTCCTGAAGGTGGGGTGATCTTTGCTACCATAACCAGCAGCAAATGGGCTGGGCTACAGAATTTGTCCTGCGTCATAGATAACCTGAATTGCCACTTTTGACTTGACCACAAATGACATTCTATAAAAAAAAGTATTTGAAAACTGTATCATCAGGCTGGGGATACACCTCATGTTATTTATTTATTTTTCCATGAGAGAATCATAAACTTGCAAAGTTGGACTGAGACCCCAAAGGACAATCTAATTACCTCTTCTTTGCAAATTGATGTTGTTCAGGGCCTTAGCTGGTTGTGGAAGAAAAGAATCTTAACCTCCAGGAAAAAGACCCTTAGTTTTCAAAGGTGATGTCATGAATGCTGATGATATCTCCATGCAGAAAGACCTTGGCAACCCTGACACCCTTCTCTTCTTAGGGCACCTTTGAATTTTGTCCCCTCGTTACCGTCTGAGCTGTTGTCTGAGGAGCCCTTGGCTGCCTATACCCTTCCTTGTTGAAGGACTACGAATTCCTTTAATAATGAAAGGCAATAAGACCGAATAATTATGGGAATGAACAGAGCTAAGTGAATTAAACTGACATTGACAATTGTTCCTGCTTTCATAGTGTCATAGGTTCTGCTTTCATTGCATTACTCTGATTTGTGCATCATTTTCTGAATATCTGTATTAAGGTATAGTCCTTGGGTGAAGCATACGTGTGAATGCTTTCATTAAAATGTTTTGGTTGAGGATAAAATTATAATTATATAATTATAGTTATCATATTTATATATCGTATAATAAAATTATATAAAATATCTTAAGCTCCTAAGAATCAATGATCTTTTTACAGCTTCTGTAGTACAACTTTTTTATTGGAATTTTAGATTCTCCAGTGGGTTTTATAGATTTATTTTTTCTGCATTTTCTATTTGGAAATAATGCTTCTGATACATAGAATCATAAATTCATAAGCAATTTTAGAGGTTCTCTGGTCCTACCACATTATTTTACAGATGAAGAAACAAAGGCCCAGAGAGGCCAACTTAATTGCCCAAAGAGTACTAAGGGGCAGAATTAGGACTTCCTATCTAGGACTCCTTTCAGTATACACCACTGCCTTCTTTTTGGCAGGAAACTTCCTTTGAATGCTTTCCCGGTGGCGATCTTTAGACTCTCATAGTCTTCCTTGTGAGTAAAGCTGTTTATTTGAGAGGTGCCTTCTTGTGATTAAGCATGCAGTCTGCAGAACAGGAGAAATTAACTCATATAGATAGGAATTGACTCTAAAACCTTGGCTTCAGTTCAACGATCATTTATTTATCCACATACTACTTTCATATTGGAAATCAATTTTAAATTGTGAGAGATTAGTTGATCTCGTTTTTCTTTTCCTTTGAATTTAAGAGATTGTAAGTGAATGCCTACTCACAGCTGTGTGGTCTTGCTACTGTTTAACTCCTTACCGGGAAGCCTCGCCGGTGTATAAATCCTAGACTGACTCCAAAGATGGGTTGGTTTGTTTGTTTTACTCCCCTGAAGTTTTCTGTTCCTGGCTGAAGGGAAAAATGTGAAGATGAGTGGCCTCACTAAAATAAATATTGCAGCCAGAAGCATCTCCTAGATTTTACCCTTGAAATGCTCAATGTTATGGAAGATGGGAGAAATTCTGTTTAGTTTTCTCTTTTTGTCTAGTTTTCTTTTTTATGGAGACTGGTGACATAAAGAAGGGGCTTTTTGTTTACAATAGCACTTTTTGTAGAAGCAAAGAATTGGAAGGAAAGTGGGTCCCCATTAATTGAGGAACATCTGAACAACTGGTATTTGAATAATGTAGAAAAAAGTATTGCTTTGCAAGAAATGATGCCTATAAAAATTCAGAGAAACTAGGAAGAGTTGAATGAACTGATTCAGAGGGAAACTTACAGAATAAGGACAATAATTTATACAGTAACCACAGTAATACAAAAGAAAACAAGATTGAAAGACTTCAGACCACTGGTCAATGTAGTGACCATTTGGGACTTTAAAGGACAGATGGGGAAGTACCTTGACAGAGAGGTGGTGAACTGTAGATTACAGAATGAGACATAGTTTTCAGACCTGGGCAACATGTTGATTTGTTTTGCTTGATTGTACTTATTTGTTAGAAGGGAGAGTTGTATTGCAGTGGATAGGGTGAAGAGTATCATTGGAAAGTGACTAATGTAATAAAAAAGCATTAATATTTTTAAAAAGTGTTCTTCAAATTAATGTTCACTATAAGAATATAGCAAATGTACTTTTCAGAACTTTTATGTCGATGTAAGTTCTTCTCATCCTTCCTATGCATTTTGCCCTGCCTTTAGCAATTCTGATGTCTTTATAAAGAACCAGATAAATCTACTCTAACTTGATTCGGCAAAAGTTTGATTAGTATGTAAGCACTTGAGGTCACAAATTTTTGGGCAAGTATCTATTTGAATTTAAAGTGGTGACTTGTGATGTGGCTTTGTGAGTTGGCCTATGGATGAGGAAGACCTGGGTCCAAGTTATTCTGTTCTCTGTGCCAACTAGGCAATGCCAAGACAGAGGTTCTTAGCCTTTTTCTACCATGGACCCCTGTTGCAATCCACTGAAGCCCCTGAACCCTTCTCAGAATAATGTTCTAAATATTAAAGGAAATGCTATATTTTTTCCCATCCAAATTCAGACTTCCTGAACCTATTCAGGTAGATCTCTGGACTACTGATTAAGAACTCCTGTTCTAAGACTTTAAGTGTAAGAGGAAATGCTGATCTTCCTTGGTAGAGGCCTAGAGGAAGTCTCCTCATAGCAGTAAAATCACTATATAAGTAAAATCACAGGTTTGATCCAAAAGACAGTATTGCTTGTTGGCACATTAATGTGTATGTATGTCTCACGTATGAACTAACACTGAGATTTTCCTAGAAAATTATTCAATTCCTGTTCCTTCAAGACTGGTTTGTTTTTGACTTATGGAGATATACTTATTAGCATAGTTGATTAATCTGTGAATAAACAAACCCAAACCATCGTGAAACATGTAAACTTGTCATTGCCTATACCTTTTCCGGACATGGTTTTTTTAAGGTAATCTTGTCTTTTTTATCCATTTTGTTTTTCAGCCTCTCTGTTAAAGGGACTAAAGCATGCCAATATAGTATTACTTCATGACATCATCCACACTAAGGAGACATTGACACTTGTGTTTGAATATGTGGTAAGTAAAAGAGATTCAGTCTCCAACTGTTTAAGGCCATTCTTATAGTAGCATAGGCTTCCTTTCCAAGATCGCTGTTATAAAAAGGATGTGTGCTTTGCTAGACCTTATGTTGGATACTGGAATGATAAGTATCTTACAGGGAAATTTTCTCTCTCTCTCCCTTTCTCTCACTCTCTCTGTGTCTCTTTTCTCTCTTTCAATAGACAGACAGGAGAGAGAGAGAGAGAAAGAGAAAGAAAATGAATATGAATCTAAGATGGGATGAAAGGGTGGACGGAGAGTATTTCAGGTATGGAGAATCAGTGAAATGGTATGGAGATGGAAAATGGAGTATAGTTTCACATGGCAATGACATCAAAGAAAGACATAAAATGCACTCTTCCTTCCTAGGACTTAGCAGTTGCTTCTTTGATTAGGGAGCAATGCAAAGAAGAATGTTTAGTACTTAAAATTTAGACTTCATAAATTTTTTTTTTCCTGACTTGGCATTTCAGTTGCTAGTTAAGATTTCCAATTTGTGTAATACACAATGCAATGAACTTATTTTGTTCAGGAGTGTTACTTCTCAAAGACATAGACTTGAACTCTTAATTAATCTTTATACATTTTCTGTAGACAAACATGGTATTTGTGTAGAAGTACTTCAGCATTTAGCTGTGGAATCATGCAACGTAACCATGATAATTAACATCCCCTTCCTCACAGATGGATTTGAGAGCATGTAATTTCAAAGATAAAAGTGACTTCGGTGGAGGCTCTACTTTACATGAATAGCTGTTAGTATTGTGATTGCTTTGAGACCTGGCATTTTACTCACGCCTACTACTTTTTCTTAAAAGTAAAATAGTTTTTCAGAAAATATGCAATAGAATGAATATTTGTAACATGGTTTATTTGGATAATGTGCGCATCTGTCATTTGGAAACTGTCATAAGGAAAAGACATTCATCTTGTCTATTTACATATAAATGATACATTTGAATAATATGATAATGTGACTACCAGACTAGCAAGTGAGGAGTATATGCATTTATAACTTGCTCTCCAGAATGGAAGTAGATTCACACTTCAATGAAAATATATTTTTTTCATTTAATTGATGATTATAGTGTCAATAACACATTAAACTTATATAGCATTGGAAATTCCCAATAACCTCTTTTTTCAAACAGAAAATACTTTTCCTTTATATACATTTCAAGCAAATCCAATCTTTTGTAGTACATTTGGATGCAGTACCATAATGTTTCATAGAGAAGAGCTGGAAGATTTTTAAAAAAAATTTCCTGTGTATTCACTTCCAAATTTGATTATTAAATTAAAAGAAAATAAAGGCCAGATCCTAAAATGAGTTTTTTTTTGCAGTTGAACTTAAAAATGCATATAAGACTTCATCCTCCAAATATTTTTTAAAAATTTTGTTTTAAAACTAATAACCTCAGAGTTACCTTTTCTTATTCTGCCTAATTAACCCTACTCCCTCATGCCCCGACTCCCAATGTCTGAAATTTAACCAGTTTGAGGTTTATTTAGGTTAGTAAGTATCCTCTGGCATCTCTTGGACTTACAGTTTAGATCAAGCTGTGATTTGGCCCCAGGGGAGTAGAGAAAGTGGGAAGATGCCAAGTACAAGTTGCCAGCTGTGTGCCCAGGAAGGACAGAGGAAACACCTCTTTCCTTTAGCCTTATGTTCTGTAAGTCTTTCTGCTCTCAGTTCCCGGACGTCAAATGCTGAATGTTGGTACCACAGTTGAACCATGATATGGGTTGAATAGGCTTTTGTGGGCTAGCTTGGAAAACCAGTCCTTATTTTGTAACATTACTTTTGTGGAAAAATTATTTCAAGTCCCCTCACTGCTCACCACTTCCTCCCAAAACAAAAACACACCTTACAAATCATTAGAACATCCCTTGCTTCTAGTTAGGATGCTGCCAGCCTACTTAAATGGCATTTTAGAATTTGTTTTTAAAGAAAATGCTTTTATGGGATATGCCATGACTCTTAGGCCAGTTTAAGATTTAAAACTCCAGTAAGATTTTTGGGGACAACTTGTACGATCTGTGAATAGGAGAAAGAGAGTTGGCTATCTTGCATTTGGGAAATTTCATAGTTTTTCTAATGTCCACTCGCTTAATCATAGAATAAAAATGTGTCTCTATTTTTTAATTAATATTTTATTTTTCCCAATTACATGTAAAAAACAATTTTAAACATTCATTTAAAAATTTTTGTGTTCCAAAGTGATTTGATATAGGTCCCAGATGTGCAATCATGCAAAACATATTTCCATATTAGTCATTGTATTGCTGAGAATAGCTAAGTTATGCACAGTCAGTCATTGCACACAATATTGCTTACTGTGAACAATGTTCTCCTGGTTCTGCACACTTCAGTTTGCGTCAGTTCATGTGAGTCTTTCCAAGTTTTTCTGAAATAATCTGCTTGTCATTTCTTATGGCATGATTGTACTTCATCACAATCATATACCACAACTTGTTCAGCCATTCCCCAATTGATGGGCATCCTCTCAATTTCCAGTTCTTTGCCACCACAAAAAGAGCTGCTATAAATATTTTTGTACAAAGGGGTCCTTTATCCCCTTTAAAAAAATCTCTTTGGGATACATACCTAGTAGTGGTATTGCTAGGTCAAAGGGTATGCATAGTTTTATAGTCTTTTGGGCATAAAAAGTTGTCTTTAAAGAAAATACATTTGAATTCTTTGTACAATGGTAAAATGGCATTTCCATTTAATTTTACTTGTCTGTGGTGCTAACTAAATCGGGAAAATTCTATATATTTTGGAAGCACTTCAGTTCAACAAACATTTATTAAGTGGCTACCAGATTCTTGTAGATACCAGGACAAGAATGTGGCAGTCTTTGCCCTCACAGAGCTCATAATCTGCAGGAGATATGTTATGTGCACAAGTGAGCATACACAGAAGCATCACAATTTGAAATATTTCTTTCTCAGATTGTTATTGAACCATTTCATCCTTTTTCTTAAAATTTGGAGTGAGGGGTGAGAGGAGAGAGAAGCACTTGATACTAGCCGAAAGGGCAAGGTTCTCAAGGACCTTTTCATCAACCTTACATTGTACCCATGGAATTTGAGCTACCTATCAGCTCATGTCATGTACAAATGCAAAAGTATTGTTTTTCCTTGTTTAGAGCAAAAACTCTAGCTTGATGACTGTCGTGTTCACACTAATAATTATCATAGGCTTTGTAAAAAAAAAAAAATGTTCTGCAAACCAGAGCAATTAAAGAAGTGATGAACGGTTAGAAATCTGAAAGGCTTGGAAAATAGTGCCTTGTGGTCATGAGCAAAATGATGACTTGGTGCAGAAATTGAATACTGATAGAAATGGTTTAGGTAGTTCTTAAGTTCAGTTCCAAGCTTCTAGAAATATAGTATGATTTTGTTTTTTAGTTATTTAAACGGTTTTTATGTTCTTTTGTTTTTCTGATACAGGGATTTTTGGACATACCACTCATGTCCATAAAATTGAACCTTCCATTATGGGAAAGATAAAAAGGTTAAGCAAATCCAGTTGATACAGTGATCTCATCTCAGAGTATATGCAGCACTCTGTACCTGTATTCTCCCCCTGTGTTCTGCAAAAAAAAAAAAAAAGGAGCCAGTGGTACAACTTAAATTCACTTAGAACACCTCAGAGTAAATCCAAGTGCTTTATAGAGGCAATGGGGGAACAGGAGTGTCTGGAACATGTTAGCAAATATAACAATCTTTACACTCAGCTGTGTTTCATCATAGATTGCCAGCTTCCTGAGGGCAGGAACTTGATCACATTTTTTAGATCTTGTATTAAGCATTTACCACATACCTAACTCTTTGCTGAGCACTGGGAATCCCGGTGCTTAATAAGTACTGTTTGAGTTTAAAGTAGTTTAACAGAGAGCTTCATCAGAGACTTCTTTTACATTGGTCTAAAATGATGACCTACTTTCACCAAATACACACACACATCTATTTATAATCTTAAGTAGAAATAGAGAGAATACCTCAAATTGCTCTACCCTCAGCATACAGTGAGTCGGAGAACTCTTTACAGAATTTCATATCTACTTAATCTGAATATTATGCATTCCTCCTTTCCTTCCTTTCATCCTTCCTTCTTTCCTTCCTTTCTTCCTTCCTCCCTCCCTTTCTCCCTTTCTCCTTTTCTGCCTTCCTTCCCTCCTCCCTTTTTCTCTTTCCTTTTTCCTGCCTTCTTTCCTTTCCTACTTAATCTGAACATTATTTATTTAATCACTTATTTTTAATAAATGGCAAATATATGCACATTAGCCTTGAGTCAGTAGGATAAATGTTTGGAAATTTAAATATTTTCCATAAGAGGAAATGAGAACATTAGTAATGTAGGAGATATGATTATGTAAAGATATGTTCTTGAGCTAAACCCTTACTATAATTACAAGAGAGCTCAGCATGTTTGGTAGCACTTTTCATTAGGTTTCAATAATTAGGCACACCAGGATAAATTTATAATTCTTATCATGATTTTCAGGGAAGGAATATTCAATTTGTTTCTTCCCTCAGCCATGCTGTTAATGGGAGAAATCTCCCAGGCTAACACATGGCATGATTTAAAACAACAACCAATACCCCTTCCAATTACCAGAGAGATATCTTTGTACATGAAGACTCTTGCAATATGCAGATCACCAAATGTGTTAATTGTGTTCCATAGTTGTGGATGGAGAACTGTGAGAAGTGCAGGAAGCTAAAATATGGAATCATAAATTTAGGATTATTTTTGCTGTCACCTCAGTGTTTGAATATGTAGGATTAGTGTGATTCTCTCCAGTTAATGGTATTGAATCTTTCCCTTTCTTCGAGGTCCAACTAAGGTTATACCTTTCCTGATTTCCCCCAACTGAATGTGATCCCTCTCTTTTCAATCTTTTCCTGACGCTTCGGAATTCTTCTAGACAATGAGCATATTCTTTCTTTTAATATAATTATTTGTA